CCTGCTGCCGCGCCCCTTTCCGAACGCGAGCCGATTTCGAACACGAGCTGATTTCGAACGAGCCGAACACGAGCCAAGACTGAGCTCGCTCAGGCTCGGCTCTTTTACAGGCCTACTTACTTCTTATGAATTTACATTCCTAACCCTTAAAATTCAATATTTTACATCCGTGCCATCTTATGTATGTATGAAAAGTATATTTTTTTTTATCTTTTTTTCAGATAAAATATTTAAAAGAGAATATTACATACGGAGTCCAATTTAATGCAAACTTCATCAGAGCACATGCATACAGACTCTTTGTTAATAATTTTATGTGAATTTATGGACTAGTATTTTGATGTTTTTTTAGAATTGAATTAGAGCGGGAATGTGGAAAAAATATTACATCAGTACTACGCACATAGAGTAACGTGCGTAATCAATGAAATCACGCCACAACACCCCATGCGAAAGGAAAAAAAAAAAAATGGCATGGGAACACAGAGAATATTTTCCCCGTATTATTTATGTGTTATTGTGTGTTATTCATGTGTTACTGATGTGTTATTTTGTTATTATAACACCAAGAATATTCTCAGGATACAATAACACATGAATAACACACAATAATACCAAAATAACATGGGGGAACATTCCCAACAGAGAAAAAACGGTGCGGTAACACGAGAGAATATTCCCCTAATGTTATTAATGTGTTATTGCGTTATTATAACATCAGGAATATTTCTTGGACACAATAACACATGAATAACAACGGGAAAATATTCTCCATGTTACCGCGCCGTTTTTTTTTCCTGTCGCGTGGGATGTGGTGAAGTGATTTCATTGGCTACGCACGTTACTCTACGTGCATAGTACTGATGTAATATTTTTTCGGGAATGTGAGTGCCTTAGAAGCAGGAGTTAGTGCTTATGATTAATCAGATTTGGTTAGTTTTATCGACATTGGTTAGTGGAGCTGGGCCTCTGCTTATGATTAGAATAAAGATCGGCTTCCACTATATTTGATATAAACTTGTCTTATAAGATGTTTGTTGATATCATGTCAAATGGGTTTTTTTTTAATGTGAGATAAAACTTGTATCATGTACTCATGATAATTCACTTCTCAAAGAGTGAGTTTGGAGGTGTATTTCATATAGATCACTCAATTCTTATGTATATACATCTTACAACTAAGCATCATCGAGCATACATAGGCCCGACATACACAATTTTTGCTCCATACATCCTACATTCTCCCTCATCTCCTACCTTCCTAAAAAATTGGTTGATAGTGGATGGTAAAATAAAAATATTTATTATTATTTTTAAAAATAAATTAATTACTTTATTTTCATGTCAAAGCCATTATCCAACATAAAATTAGGAATTACAATTAAATTCCACCAACTTCTTTCAAACCAAACATATGCTCTCTTCTTTTCTAATTATTTTTTCATAAAATCTCTCCCTTTTGTTATTGAACAAGTGATGGTTTTATATTTACTTGGTCTACCTTTTTCCTTCTTTGTTTGTATGACTCTATTTCTATAAGACATGGGGAAGGACATGCTCACACATTTTTTTTTTTTTTTTTCAAAATATGGATTTTATAATTTTGAATTAACTTTGGGCTTATTAAAATAAAAAAAAATAATTTATTAAGGGGCATTTGGGATCATTTTTATTATTTATTTTTATTTCATTTTGTTTATATTTTGATTTAAAATAAAACATGTTTAGGGTTTATTTAAGATTAATTTTAATTTTAATTTTTACTTTCTTTTTTATTCTTGAAAACATATTTATTTGATGTATTTTTATTTTTTATTTTCTAAAATATATTAACATATTCTTCCAAATACTTAAAACAACATACACGCTTTTTTTTTTTTTTTGAATATTTTTAAAAACAAGTATATCTTGTTGAAGGAGAAATAAACATATTAAACATGTTTTATTTCAAAGTAAAACATAAACAAAAAAAAAAGAAAAAAAAAAGAAAAGAAAAATCAAAAGTGATCCCAAACTGTCTTTTAGTATATTTGACTAAGAAATATTATTTTTAAAAATGCTCCAAACATCCAAAAAATATTTTAAATAATTTCAAAAACATGTTTATTTATTTAAAACAAAAAACACAAATTAACAATACATTAGACAAATGTATTTTTATAAATAAAAAATAAATAAAAATAAAAAACAAAAAAATAAAATTTGATCTAGAAAGCCCTAAACCCAATTCCTGCAAAAGCAAAATTTCTTATATTTTCAAAGGGTTTTTTACATAACAATTACCCAAAACTTTAAATATAATACTTTTGACCACCTAAACTTACAATTTTACATTTCAACCCCTCAAAAACCGCAAAAAAAAACTTCAATATAATGGATTAACCACTGATCGTTTCAAAACGAAACTCGTTTCAAAATGAAACAAAATTTTAAGTTATGACGACGAAAATATTATATTTAATGTTTTGAGTGATTGATACGTAAAAATTCCTTTTAAATTTTCCACCCAAAACTTAGAACGCATAAAATTCTTCAACATATCAAACCTTTCATGATAATTGAGCAATGAAAGGCATCACAAAATAATAATAATAATAATAAATAATAATAATAATGAAATCATGCAAGAGCTGAATGAACTTATGGATATAGTTACAGTGACAGTGCTGCTATTTCTCTCATAACCTCGGTCTTATCTGCTTCAAACTGTTCATCATCTGCCACAAGCCCCCAAAAAATAGCTTTTAAAAAGAAATTATTAAAAATAATGTAAGAAATTAAATAAGAAAAATGCATTCGAACCCACCTTTATCTAATGTTAATGCACCCAAAAGCCGAAGAATTTTGCTTTTGTTCGTCATGAGAATTGTTCCAATCTCTGTTGGCTTGTTTTGATTAGCAACGAATAGCTGTTACAGTAGGAGGAACAATCCATATAAGAAATTTGGTAAATTGTAGGGAAATTTGCATGCATACCACCCAATTCCTATGTATTTACATATACAACACCTAAACTTCAATTTTTCCGCCAAAATATTTCGTATCACATAAAAAATATCATTTTATGGTGGCGTACCGCGTATATATGAAAGTAGAAGTTCGGATGGTAGATATGTAATTACATAGAAATTGAGTGGCACGAACGTAAATTTTCCTGAATAGCATATTTACAATCAAAATTGGTTTGGAGAAAAAAAAAATACCTTGAATACATGAAAAGCGTCTATTTGGATGGTTCTGCTTTTGTCCTGAGCATATAAATAAATTCATCGGTTTTAAGATTATAGATTTTAGAAGAAAGACCAATTAAAGATGAAAATTGAATGGAAGATAAATAGAAGTAGAAGAAAATTTCAAAATTATGAAACAAACCTTCAGCAAATTTAGACCTTTGATGATAAGTGCAGTGTTCATGAAGGGTGGGTTTATAAAATGTCAGAGAAGATGACATGTTCAAGAAATTATTACCAAATAGTGTTTAAGGGCATTTACATATAGGGGTATAAACGAGCTGACCACGAGCGAGTCTAGGCTCTGCTCGTGTTCGGCTCGTTTATATTTCAAGCTCAA